GCACGAATCGGGAAAATTGAGGTTCATAGAGGTTCATGGATAATGATGTCGCACGAACCACAAACTGGTTTGGACCTCCCCTGGTTTGTTAATCAATTTGGGTTTGTGAGGTTTTTGCACTCCTGGAGGCATGCTGCAGATCTAGGAGCTGGACAATATGTTTCTCCCAACATTGTCTTTAACGTGAAAAAGCAGCTGGGGGCAATTAATTAGATCAGTCTTATGGGCAGGTTTGTATGTGAATTGGGTCGGGTCTGTGGTCTTAAGGATTTTCCCCCACTGCTGCTATTCCCCCAATATAAATTGCCCCCTTGCCACAGCTGCAGTGGGGTATGAGGTACTGAGAACTTTTTCTATTATGGCTGATAGACGCTTCAGGGAAGGGATATTTCTATAGCATTGATTCGTTCCCCTGTGTCATAACCCCATTCCCCACCTGCTTTGCAGAGATAAAGAAAGCCTTAGGAGAACCAGTCAAAGATCTCACATTAATTGTGTTTTGTGTCCCTGAGTCCAGCACTCTCCATTATTACACCACTCTGTATCCTATGTAGGCAGGCCTGTATTAAATCTTAGCATTATCCTAAAACCCTTTTTGATATAGGAAACTTTGAAAGATAACAGCAGACAGCTCTTAGTTAATCTCTTTCACAGGGACTCCTGCTTGTATTCCCAATGACAGTGGAATTTGCACTGTGTCTTTTGCCACCCAGTGTTATCAGAATGTGTATATTTAACCATGTGGTGGATCTGTAGAGAAGGGGAGTGCGCAGCCAGTATGTGTAGTGGTTAGAGTATTGGACTAGGATCTGAGAGACCTGGATTCAAATGTCCACACTGCCATTATCCCACCTCGCAGGAGAACTATTGTGAAGATAAGATGGGGAAGGGAGACCCATGTATGTCTTGAGCTCCTTGGAAGGAGACTGGGATACAAATGTAATAGATAGAACAGGGAAAAGCAAAGCATAAAGAAACTTAGGCCCCGGTCACACGGGCGAGTGGTTCCATTTGATTTCCTAAAAATTTATGTTGATGGGAATTATATAGATATTTCATTACACACACACACACACAAAGATATTTCATTACACACACACGTACATAAATTCATAGGCTCCTGACAATTGATTAGTTATTAGGATATATATATATCAAACGTCCCAACGTCCCGCCGACGTCCCGTGGTTGGGGGGAGGTGCCGATCATACCTCACTCCTGCGGCACAGCAAAGAAGCGCCACCGCGGGGGTTGTGTTGTTTTTTTTAACCCAAGTGTTCGCATGCGCCGTTGGGTGCTTGTGCGCACCCGTGGAGACTTGACCCCAAAAAAAGTTTTCGCAACGGGACATGGGTGGGCGCCGGATGCCACGAGCTAACACCGGAGACGTGATCTGATGCCCGCCCTTGCCCCGCGGTTTCCGGAAACTAGTACCTTGGAGGTACTAGTTTTTTACAGTGCATCTTCGGCGGGAAGCCTCGGGTGAGCCACGGGAGCTCTACGCTTCCCAGATGTGGCGGTGAGATCGCGCCCGGAAAATCCGCCTATCTTCCGTCTCTCTAGCGTGCCTAATGCCCCGTGTGACCGGGGCCTTAATTTGAAATTTGCCCTTTGGGGAAACACACTACTCAGCAAATTCCTTTTGGAAAGAAAGTTTGAATCCATCTTGAAGCATCATTTAAAAAAAAAAACAACACCCAGAAAACAGCAGGCAAGAGTTTTCTTTCTTTTCTGAGGAGAGGCAGTGGTACAAAGTCCTGCAGATGTAATGCAAGGATTAAAGAACATGGCTTGTCCTTGGCAGAATTACCCTTCATTGGCATTGCATAAGAAATGCATTTTGTAAAGAAATAATGGTTGTATAGCTGTCATTTATTTTTAAAGGAACATTTGTCCTCCGAAGCAATTAAAAAAAAATTAAAACAAGAACAGCAATTAAAGATATGGGGCAGTGGCGCTTGAGAACCAATCAGAATAGAATTACCAATTCCTTCTGAGGAATTTCTTCTCATTAAACCGTTTGGCGTATTTTTGACGACCTCAGTAAAAAATCCACATCCTCCTAAGCTGTGAATGGAATGTTAAGTGGCACTTTCAAATGCAGGCATTTTGGGCAACTAAAATGATATGCAAAGCTTGACACAATCAGCTGTTTGTTTTCACTAGTGTGGTAAATCGACTTATCCAAACACAGTGTTGTAACTGGTAGGGTGACCTCAGTTTGTGGGGTCTGTGGGGCAGAACTTGGAATTAATCTTGCAGTAATTCCAAGAGAATAAAGCATTTTTACTTTTCACTTAACATCATATTATGTAACAGAATCATAGAACTTAGTGATGCAACAGAACAGTGATCCTTTGAAATCCAAACAATTAACTTTCCCCTCCTTCACAGCCTGCGACCCTCAAAGTCCATCTCTTTCCTCTTGTTGGTGGCCCGAGAAGTCTCCAGCTGAACACTCTGTGCCCCGGCTTCCAAGATGAGGGTCCCAAATGAACTCCCCATTAGATAACACAGCCCTGAAACAATAATTCTTAAGCAAGATGTTAAGAGCTACGATTAAGGTTCAGGCTCCTCAGCAGGGAAGCAGTCTTGCTTCTCTCCTTTGCTTTTCCCTTCTGCATCTATAGGCTCCACCCCTTCCTGACTCATTCCATTCCTAGTTAGGAGTTACAGTGTTCCCTCTAAGCTGAGTTAGTGTGAGCTAGCTCACAGTTTTTTAGCCTCTGGCTCACACATTTTTGTCTTAGCTCAGGAAGGACGGCTCCAGAGCTAACTAATTTATCCAGTAGCCAAATTGCTTGCTCACAGCTTTAATGCCAGGAGCTCACAAAGTAGAATTTTTGCTCACAAGACTCCACAGCTTCGAGGGAGCAATGGTTACAGTCAGTGTTCCCTCTAAGCTGAGTTAGTGTGAGATAGTTCACAGTTTTTTAGCCTCTGGCTCACACATTTTTTCCTTAGCTCAGGAAGGATGGCTCCAGAGCACACTAATTTATGCAGTAGCCAAATCGCTTGCGCACAACTTTAAAGCCAGTAGCTCACAAAGTAGAATTTTTGCTCACAAGACCCCGCAGCTTAGAGGGAGCAATGGGTACAGTAGTAATGCTATTTTCAAAGCAGTTGTTTATTCTCTTAGTGGAAGATTATATTTCTCTTTTTCTACCCGGCCTTTTCCTTCTACATTTTATCTGTTTGCAGTTTTATTATCTAGAAATAAGATTCGTTTGGTTTTCTGGTGGTTGTATGGGTTTTGAAATACGTTGTATGTACTTTATGTCTTTATTTTTGTGCTGCAAAAGGGTGGATTGTCTAACAGTGCAAGCCTAAACAAAATTACACCCTTCTAAGTCTATTGAAGTCATGATTGCACTGTAAGTAGCAATATTTGGAGTTGTGGTGCTATTCGGCGCCACCTTCTAGAACTTGGATTTGTGTCTCATTTGTTCGCATCTGGGCAAGACTGTCTAGTCAATGTTTTAGTGTATCTGCAGGTCTTTCCAGTAGGGGTCCATATAGAATGAAGGTCTTCTTTAAGCTGAAGCGTCTACTTAATGTAATTAAAAGGGGTAATTCAAAATCTAAGGATGTTGTTCTTGTTAGAATGCTCAAGTTGACTATCAGATCAATAGGTGCAGAAAACAAGTTTTTGAACTTCAAGCTGGTTTAAGGACTTAATACTGCAAACCTTTGTCTACTTGCTTGGGATAAACCCCACTGAACTTGGTGGGACAATTCCAAATAAGCACAGATAGTATTTGAATGTAAAGTTGTTACATTTTGATACCATATGAAAAGGAAATGACCTGTGAATGTAAGAAAAAGAAGACAAAAGAACAATCTATTCAGTGTTCACCCTGCACAAGCACAATCAACATTTACAAGGGAGCAGCTGTTTCTATCTGTGATCATTTGTTTCTTTAAGTCCTTTAAAATGTGTTTTTTAAATTGCATTTGATTCAGATGGATAGTTTGATCCATTTCCCCCCTTAATTTTAAAACACAAAAAACTAAATATTTATTTTCTTCACTGGTTGTATAGTTTTGTTTTCCAGTTATTCAGAGGTTTTTAAGGCTTGTATGTCTTTCTCTGTTTGATGATCTATCTCCATAAATGCACTTTCCTGAAATAAAACTCTGTCCAGGCTTGCTGTTCCAGTTTGTAAGTGGAATCTAATATCTGCTGCTGGTACAGATTTCTTAAGAAAATTGCTGCTAAGTGGAGCATTTTCCATGGGATTGCATTACTCAGTTAAGAGTTCATACTTGCTGCCCAGAGCAAATTAAAGTTTATGCTTTCGTGTTGTTAATTAGAAGTGTACTGTCCACCAGGATGTTTTTGAGGGCATGTCCCTCTGAAATAACCACATTAAAATGGTTTCTGAACAGCTTCTGTTCACTTCATTGATTTTGTACAAGAGAGCTTCTTAGTGGATTGTGATCCATGTCACTTACGGTATAGTGCCAGGCTAAGCAGATCTACTACTCAAAATCCTGCTCAGGTCTGTCCAGTGGGGTTTACTCCCAAGAAAGTGTTCTTAGGAGTTGCACCACTAGTTTCCAAATATTTTAGAGTTCAGGTTTAAGATTAACCCTAAACATTTACTTGGAAGGAATTATATCTTTTGACATATGTTGTGTTTCAGATGCCTGGTAGAGTAGGTCAGATTATTATCTCCATGGCTGATTTTGCACTAGAGCTGCCTCGATGTTGTGCCGCCGTTTGCCCCAATACTATTGGTCAATTTCACACCCGAAGCCGCGGGGCTGGATTTGACCCGCAGCTTCGCCCGATTTCCTCCGCAGTTTCGTGATCCTCAAAAAACCACTTAATATTCATGGCTGAAGTGAATCCTGGACAACTCGCACTCTTAGCTATGCTATGCAAATGCTGTTGTGGAAGCACAATTAGTTTCTGTTGACTGTATTCACAAGTATTCTTGTGGCATTAATCAAGCAACACGCCAGTTTTCCTCTGTTTCTTTTTTTTTCCCTTTTAGGTCTCCTTGGTGGGATTCTTGTTCTTAATTGGCCTGTACATTTCATCTCTCGCTTCCTGTATGGGAGGTCTCTATGGAGCACCAAGAATCCTTCAATGCATTGCTCAAGAGAAAGTGATACCAGTTCTTGCATTCTTTGGACAAGGGGTTAGTAAACAAGCAATGAAGACTTACTTGCCTTTTTTAATATGCAGGGCTATTTTTGGGCAGGAACGCACAGTAACGGAGTTCAGGCTGGGTTCAGAGTTGGCCACGCCCACTACAGCCAATACCTCTGCATGCGTGGCTACAGAGGGAAGGCCTGGAGAGCGACCCCCCTCCGGCAACTCTGAGGCAGGCAAGCCAGGGGGGCCCTGGAAGGATTGGAGAGGCATTTAAATGCCTCCCTGTGCCTTCCCCAGCCTGTCCAAGGGCCGGCTTGCCTGGGCTCCCCACAGCCACGGAGTGCCCGGGCAAGTCAAGGGAAGGCACGGGGTGTGACCTAATATGCTAATGAGCTATGCTGTCAGGGGTGTGGCCTTATAGTCTAATGAGTTTCTGCTGTTGGGTGTGGCCTGTTATGCTAATGAGTTCCTGCTGGGCGTTTTCTACCAAAAAAAGCCCTGTTTATATGTATATCTTTAGCTTGCCCTGACTTGGATGGCCCAAGCTAGCCTAATCTCCTCAGATCTTGGAAGCTCAGCAGGGTCGGTCCTGGTTAGTACTTGGATGGGAGACCACCGACGAAGTCCAAGTTTGCTATACAGAGGCAGGCAATGGAAAACCACCTCTGAATATCCCTTGCCTTGACAACCCTATAGGGTCACCATAAGTTGACTGCAACTTGATAGCACTTTACACACATATCTTTGACTTTTCTGTTATATACTGTCAGGCCAGTAGTGGCCTAATAACTGAGATACCAGAAGCGAAGGCTTTCTTTGATACCCAGTCATTCTCAACGATAAATACTGGAATAATCTAAATGTTGTGTAGAAAAAACTATGGTATCCCTAGACCAGTGGTGGCGAACCTATGGCACAGGTGCCAGAGGTGGCAGTCAGAGCCCTCTCTGTGGGCACACGTGCCATTGCCCCAGACAGGCCCAGACCGTCATTAAACTGTGGAATTCTCTGCCACACAATTTTAACTAAATGAAAGCTTTTGGGATTGCTTTCCTTACTTTGTTTGGATCATCTTAAGTTAATGTATGAGTTGTTTTTTTCTAAAGTAAAACCTCAGTATTCAGGTTAAATTGCCGTGTTGGCACTTTGTGATAAATAAGTGGGTTTTGGGTCGCAATTTGGGCACTCGGTCTCTAAAAGGTTCGCCATCACTGCCCTAGACCATGGAATTCATTGGAGTGGACTGTCATTCTACACGTTAGCTTATCTAGTACCTTTAAACACAGCCTTCTTTGCCTGCCATAAGCCTGCTTGTCATGCCTCTGATATCCTGCCCCCCCCCTTTGCCAGCTAATTCTCGGACAGTTTTATTGAGTGTCGTGTTCTGCTTTTGAAGAACAAAGACTTGCTATGACCTTCTCTCCAACAGAACAGAAGCTTCATATAGAGAGCGGGTCCCTACTAAACTTCTAGATCTGATACAGTTTCCGATACCTGTGGAAGCCATCAACCCTCCTTTCCTCTGACCTTCCCTGGCAGTGCCTTGGTTTACTAGGCAGTTCAACAGGTCAAACAGGACAAGATACATACTAAGATATACAGAATATAATGTGGAAATATTGTAGGTCAGATTATTGCCAATATATAACAACCATGATTATTTCTTTTTATCTTAACATAGAAAGGACCGAACAAAACTCCAGTGGCAGCGATCTGCTTAACAAGCCTTATCACCATGGCATTCGTTTTGATTGGCCAAGTGAACATCCTCGCTCCAATAGTCACCATAAACTTCATGCTTACATATATTATGGTGGATTACTCCTATTTCTCTGTATCCATGTGCTACAGCCTTCAGCAGAACCCCAAAATATTATGCAGACAGGACTCCAAGGTTATACTGAGCTGTTCTCGGCCTTTAATACAGGACAAACCCTCCTGCTATGGATCAGGTGGAATAATTCAAAGCAGATCAAATGGCACATTGCTAGAATTCACAAAAGACATGGACCAACTTTTTAGGCCTCTCGGTAGTGAGCCGGGTCCTAGTAATGAGACAACGGGGAAAGACCCAGATACTGGCCAATCAGTCAAGCAGAGGAAGCGAAAGAAAGCAGCCAAACAAATGTTACAAGACAGCTTTCTCTTGGATCTGGATAATAACGCTGCTGCTGCTCAGGATCCCTGCAGAGAGGCCCTGGAATCCAATGATACAAATATGCAGAGCTTTTCAGAAACAAGCTATCAGGGTCAAGAAGGTGCCTCTCCATTTGCAACTATGGAAGCCAAGCAGAAGCTCAGCCAAGATGGAAACCGGCGTTTTAATGAGATACAAAATACACCCAGTCAAAAAACTAAAGGTAAACAGATGAATAAAACAGATAATTTTTCAAAAAATGTATACTCTTGCTTCTACCCTTGTTGAAGAGGCTAGAGACCTGCTTTATATGTTCATATTAAAGGCAGTATTTTTATGTGAGCATAAAGTTTATTTTAATGATTCACAGGAGAGTCTAATTGAATTTGCCTACAATACAGGAGTCCAGATTTAATTCAGTGCAGCAAGATTTGCTGCTTACAGTATTGTGCCCAGTGGTCTTGCATATGCACCCTGCATGTATGCAGCAGAACGTATTGCAGCATTTATTTTTAATTTTGGCACAGTGGGGAATAGCTTGCAAATATCCTGAACAGCAAGCTAAAGTTATATCTATGCTATAAAAGCAGAAAGAACTGTGGTCTTTATCTCATAATACTCACTGTGATTTAGGAGGGGAATTTACTGCTATTGCATGCTTGGATAACTCCTTCTCGTTAAAAGTTTGCTTATGATAAAATTGTGGCATAGTAAGGAACTAAGCTGCGGTGGCTCAAGTGGTTAAGACACTGAACTGCAGGCTGGAAGGTCAGTAGTTCAGCAGTTCGAGACCTGAGTGCCGCATGACGGAGTGAGCGGCAGTCTCTGGTTCCAACTCCTGCCAACCTAGCAGTTCGAAAGCAAGAAATTGCAAGTAGATAAATAGGTACCGCTTCGGTGGGAAGATAACAGCATTCCGTGCGCCTTGGCGTTTAGTCATGCCAGCCACATGACCATGGAAACGTCTTCGGGCAGCGCTGGCTCTTCGGCTTGGAAAACGAGATGAGCACTGCAACCCTAGAGTCGGATTCGACTGGCTTTCGAGCAAGGGAAACCTTTACCTTTAAGGAACCAAGCCCTGGCCTGGATAGCCCAGGCTAGTCCAACCCTGTCAGATCTCAGAAACTAAACAGGGTTGGTCCTGGTCAGTATTTGGAAGGGAGACCACCAGGGAATATCAGAGTTGTGATGTGGAGCCAGGCAATGATAAACCACCTCTGAACATCTCTTGCTTTGAAAACCCTATGGGATTGCCATAAGTCATCAGTGACTTCTCAGCCAAACCAACCAACCAACTAGGAACCAAAAGAACTTTCAGTAGCTTGTATTCAGTAAGACTGTTTCTTATCCATGTATTTATAGGATGCTCCGCTGCGCTCGCATTCCAAGAAGGAATGAACAGTTCTGTACATCACTGAATATATACAACCACTGGCCAATCACAGCCAATGCTGAGTCACTGTGACTCAGTGCTAATTAGCTCTAGCAGTAGCCAGCTAGAACCGGTCAGAGCCAGCTCTCATGACACTTAGAGCTGTCAGCTCCTGTCAGTTAGATGCCTCAGATCTACAGCATGACTTAACACTATACATAGAATACTGACATGCCTGACGTGATTGCGTCACTTCCGGGTGATGTGCTGTCGCCGGGCATGTTGTGTGCTTTGGGGGTGTTTTTTCCCCCGGGGCCCGATCCGCCAGCGGCGGGTAATGGGCCTCTCAGGCAGGGGTTTCCCCGCCCCCCGGGGGACTTGGCAAGCCTACTTATATAGCATATTTTTGCTTCTTTTATCATCCATATTATCAGATATTGTATTGGGGAGGTTTCGTTTAGCTAGAAATACGGTGATAGCAAAGAATGTGATGGGTAAAAGGGGTTTGAAAATCTGAAAAGTTACTATAAACTCAACAAGCTTAGGGACCCCCGGCATAGGTGGAATTAAACTTGAATGGTTTGATGATGCAAAAACACTTGTGGTAGTTCAGGCATGGGAGATCCATACAGAAAGCTTATCTTGCTGAACAGTATCAGACTGAGAATCGATTATGTTACGGTTTCTTCTCACGGCTTTGTCTCCTTTATTCTACAGATTTAACCGTAAAACAACAAAGTCAAGAATTGGAAATTCAGGAGATGCCAGTGTCCTTCTACTCCAGATTCTGTAACCATTGGGCGTCCCTAGTTGGTGTGAGTCATGCTGCTGATATTTCAAACGTTTATTTATTTCTATATGAAACACCCAAGATGGCCTTAGGATAGTAAGTTCACAAAGAGAAAACTTTATTAATGTATTGCTGTTACAAAAGCACACTTCGGGCTTCATGGGAAAGTTCTAGTATACAATGCCGCAAGGGTTCTGGATGAGAGACACCTGTCTTGGAGTTGGTAGTGGGGAAACCAAGTGGGAAAAATGGAATTACAAAAGGCAAAGTAGTCCAAGATGAGATCATGCCAGAGTACTTTGCTGTTCCTCAAAAGAAGAAGCTTATTGTAGCTGGCCAATGCGTAACTATGGCAGCACTAGTCCATTCCCTATGGGTATGAGTTACGCGGTGGCCGGTAGACAGTCACAGTGTTTTCTGATTGTACCTGAGGTAGTATCTATAGCAACTGCACCGCTGCGGTCAGTGGAGGCACTGTGTGGCGGCTGTGGCGGTATGATGGACAGGGCTGCCAGAACCAATCTGGGCAATGTGGCAAGGGGGTGGAGTCCAGATTCCATCTTAGGCCAGCTGGTCAGAGAGGGGCGGGCCCCAGGAGTTCCACTCATCGTCAGGAGCACACACCCCACCCCCTTAAAGGGACCAGCTCCTGTCAGCAGATCCAGGCACCTGATAGCGGGGAAGGGGTTTGAGCATCCAAAGCTGCCTCACTGCCCACACAGAGCATGGGTCCCCAAAGGGCAGGAGAAGAGGGGCTGTTATTTCCACTCTGTGCATTTGCTCACTGGAGGGTGCGCTTCCCAGCAGCCTAGCCACATTGCCAAGAGCACTCCCGTACCACCGTGCTACTGGCAGAGCAGGAAAGGGGTCTACTGGGGTGGGCTCAGATATGGAGGCATGCAGCACCACCCTCAGACACCCAAGAATCTGATTGTATGACCCACCTAGGCCTGGTTGCCTGCTACTCTACGACAGCAGCCACCCTCTGAAAGCCCGTGGGGTGTAGCAGTTAGAGCTTCAGAGTATGGTCTGGGATACTCAGGTTCAAATCACCAGTCTGCCATGGAAGCTCTCTAGGTGATGTTGAGCCGGTCACATACTTTCAGCCTAACCTACCTTCTAGGTGATGTTGAGCCTAACCTACCTCACAGGGTTGTTGTGAGGATAAAAAGGAGGAGGAAAAAAATGAGGTAAGCTGCTTTGGTCCCTACTGTGGAGAAAGGTGTGATATAAATGAAGTAAATAAATAATAAATATAGCTGAAGATGGGAGGCAGATAAACGGGTAGGCTGGTGAATGGCTGAGAAGAAGAGAATGAGGCAGGGAAAGTGGAGAGGATATGGGGGTTGGCAGGATTGGGAAAGGGGAGATGATGTGGGGAGAGGGATACAGCGAAAGTGATGTGCTCCCCTCCAACAAGTCATTGAGGTTTTTCTACTATACAAGTGGGCCAGGCTGAGCAGCTAGTACTATGCAACTAGGCCACAGTTTTCTTGGGTAGAGGCTGCCAGGCAGGGAGCTGAAGACTGAGGGGTGGATAAAGGTAGTTTGACTGTTGGGTGGGAAGGAGAGAAGGAAGCAGGAAAAGGGGAGAGGCTTTGGGGGCTGCCAGGGAAGGGAAAGGAGAAATAGTGTGGGAGGGAGAAATTAGATGCCCCCTAGAAGTTCTTGCACATTTCCACTTCTACTTTCTAAAGGTCTCTACCCAATGGGAGCATAGTGTCACCAGGAGTGTATCCATGACTGTGTAAGATGAAACCTGTCGGAGTTAAGATGTCAAGGTTGTTGTTTACATGTGTGGTCAACATTTACCTAGCAGTTGTAAAAACCATTAAAATATTTATTTAATGGGAGAGAGAGAGGTGGTAGTGGTGGTGGTGGATATTTTGACAGTGGTAATGACCTGGTGGCTGAGAGTGCTTCAAATGTGGATTAGACAAATCTATGAAGGACAGACGGATATTAGCATGCATGCTAATGGAAACCTCCCTGTTCATCTGCCTTACTGTACCAGATGAACAAATTGCAAGGGAGGATCGCTTCCTTTATGTCCCCCACTTGTAAGTGTTTCAGAGGCCACCTCTGATGTTGTACTTAGATGTACCCATGGTCTCATCTGGCAGGGGTCTTGTGCTCTGGTTACTGTGTTTAAGGGAAATGGGCCTGAGATATCTGCCTGCTTTTCCCATTTGTATCAGAACACTTGTGGGTTGGTTCAGAGAAAAAGCCTAAGTTGGCTCTGACTTTGATTCTGATTTGGGTGCCGCTGCACCCAGATGTTATAAGGTTAAAATCCCTTGGCAGAAGAAGAAGAAGAAGAAGAAGCATAAAGACAAGAAGACATCCAAATGAAGATCTAAGATTTCTCTACGTCAGAATGTAAAGAATTTATATTATTGCTCATATTCGATACCAAAATTAAGAAATATTTGTTCTTTCCATTTGAATACTTATTACTTAGTAATGTAATGGTTTATTGTAAACTTGATTATATAGGGAACGTAAGATAGATCAAAGCGTAAGATAGAACATTATTGTACCTTGCTACTCTGAATTTGTAGTGTGTAGTTTTTGTAGTTTATAGTGAAAAGCAATAAAAAAAATTCTATTTAAAAAAAAAAGAGAAAAAGCCTAAGCATGGTCTGGCACAACTTGAACAGGTATGAGGAAAACTCAGGCTCACATATACCTTTGTTCTCTTCTCTTTTCATGTACCACAAGCCTGATTAATATTTCCTGGTTTCTGACTTATAGTGCCATTATATCAGAACCAACAACTATGGTTTGTGCTGGGCATACAAATGAGGATTCTAGACTGAAAACAAGTGGTTTGCAGAGCTGTTTTGTCAGGTCAAGCACAAACCAAAGCTTACCAATTTAGATATAATATATAACTAGGATTCAGAAGAAAAAAAACTACTAGTAGCTAATAGGCTCATGATGGGAGTGAGCAGGGGAGTGTGTGAACCTGAGACTGCCCATGTTTAATGTAAAACCAGTTATAGTTTCGAGTTGGTGTGAACCAAGCCGGTGGTATATTTATTTCAAGAATTAAAATTTGGATTATTCACATGAGCAGACTGTTACAGGTCATATGATTTTCTTTATACCACATGCTCAGAGCACATCTTCATTATTAACCATGTTTGTTGAGGTCTACTAACTGGACCACTTCAGTGATAACAAAGCCATATCCTACAACAACCATGCACTAAAGAGGCTGTGTGATTTAGATCCTGAAAAGTTGCCAAAAGTAGTTTGAGAATATAAGGAATTTTCTTCCCTTGTGGAAGCCCAATAATGCTTGGCATCACAACTCTAATCAGAGAAACATTCTGCCAAGAACAATTTTGATCTAATATATTACTTAGCAGCAGGGCTCTTTTTGTAGAAAAAGCCCAGCAGGAACTCATTAGCATAATAGGCCACACCCAACAGCAGAAACTCAGTAGCATATTAGGCCACACCCCTGACAGCACAGATCTGCCCTCACAGAGGAGGGAGAGCTTGTACCTGAATAAACATTGATCTTAAAGGTGCCACTGGACTCAAGAAAGAAAGAAAGAAAGAAAGAAAGAAAGAAAGAAAGAAAGAAAGAAAGAAAGAAAGAAAGAAAGAAAGAAAGAAAGAAAGAAAGAAAGGGAGGGAGGGAGGGAGGGAGAGAGGGAGGGAGGGAGAAGGAAAGAGGGAGGGAAGAGGGAGAGAAGGAAAGAAGGAGGGAGAGGGGAAAAAGAAAGAATGGAGGGAAAGAAAGAGAAGATAAGAAGGAGGGAAAGATGGAGAGAAAGAAATAAGGAGGGAAAGGAGAGAAAGAAAAAAGAAGGGAAAGAAAGACAGAGAGAAGGAAAAAAGGAGGAAAAGAGGGAAAGAAAGAGAGAGAAGGAAAGGAGGAAAGGAGGGAAAGAAAGAGAGAAAGGAGGGAAAGAAAAAGAAAGAAGGAAAGAAGGAAGGAGGGAGTGCAGGGAGTGCGGGGAGCCAGCTTTAAAGGGCCCTGTGCACCCGATCTCCGAGCGGAGATTGGGCGTGCAAGGCCTTCCGGCTCCCTGCACTTAAAGGGGCATGGCCAAACAGAAGGCAGCCGGAACACTGTTCCGGTGTGTTCCGCCCCCAAAATAGCCCTGCGTAGCAGTAAGCAACAGTTAATGTATCACAGAATAATCCTAAGTATTTTAATTTTTTTGAATAGGCAGTAGGATCCCTTGTCATTATGTTTGTCATTCAGTGGATCTACACCCTTGTCAGTTTGGGGCTAGCAATTATTCTGTATATCTACATTGGACAAGTGAGTCCAGGACTACCACCTGGTAAGTATTTTCAGTTCACAGTATTAGAACTGCTTCAGATTTTATTGGAGTTTACTAATTGTTACTAAATTTTAATTTACTACATTACTACATTTAAGTTACTACATTTTAATTTATATATGTACACAAAGCCTGTCCTGTCCCAAACTATTTTGGGGAGAAGGTAGAGATAATTATATTTAAGCATTTATAGCCTGCTTTTCCATGTGACTCCAGGTGGCTTATAAAAATAGTTAAAAATATTTTCTATTGAAACCAAAAAAAAAAACAAAAAACCCAAATCTCTTCCCCTCCTCCCCCTCTTAAAAGATGGCTGCCATTCAAACCCCCTCAAAAGCCTTGCAGCACCTCCTGAAGAACTCCAAGGAAGAGGCCCCTCTCACCAGGGAGCCCATTCCACAGAGCTGGAACAATGATGGAAAAGGCCTGGGCTCTGATCTATGCTAGATGAGCTGTCCAAAGTGGTGGGATAGCCAACAGATGGCTGCGTGATGACCATAGCTAGTGCACAGGGACATATGGAAGGAGACAGTCCTTCAAACATGTAGGTTCCAGGTTGTGAAGGGCTTCATTAAGGGCACCTTGAATTAAACTCAGAAACAGACTGGCAGCCACTGTAGCTGTTTCAAAATTGCCAACATGTGTTCCCAGTGGCTAGCCCCTGGCAATAGGCAGGCTACTGCATTCTGGACCAGTTGTAGTTTCCAGGTTGTCTTAAAGGGCAGTCCCATGTAGAGCACATTGCAGTAATACAACTGTGGGATGACAGTAGCATGGATTTGTTGGAGTGAGTAACTCAGCATGCTTGGACATTGGGGGGGTGTGTGCTACATTACTCTTAAGTCTGTAGGTGTTATCTCTTTGAATGGGATGCTTCTCTTTGTCTTAACCTGGGAGCTGCCCTCTGTCGCTTCCTCTCTTACTTTGTCTTCTCACTCTCTGCACATGGCCTTCCATGGACACACAAGTCTCTGCAGGTCTCTCCCGCAGAGAAAGTAGGGAACATACTCTTTGGATTAGACTTCTTTCTCTCCTTTCTACTGCAACCTTAATGTAAACTGGATCTACTTGAATAAATACATATACCTTTTTTATATACTTCTCGGGAGATTTATTTACTGCACTCAGTATTTTTTTCATTAACTGCTGATTTTTCATTAACTGCTCCACGGCCTTTGGGGTCTGAAACTGAGATCACAAGATAGGATAGTGCAGGTGGTAAAGCACAAAATCTGATTATGAGTACACTGGCCAATTCCCAATTGGTGTACGTTAAAGGACAAGAAACTGCAAAAGGGATGACTGAAGCCTTAAGGAAGGTCTTTGGGGGGGAAGACCAGGCTAGCAAGATTTCTTTATTTAGAGAACTTCTCTCAATTAGGCTACAAGGAGGTGGAAATGCAGGGACCCATAGAGAAACGTCACTAAATCTAATTGACAAGCTTGCAACTGCTGGTAAAGTGCTAGATGAGGATCTACAGACTGAACTGTTTCTAAGTACCCTACCTGAATCTTATTCTGTGTTCATCTCAACATCTAATAAGAACATAAGAGACGCCAATGTTGGATCAGGCCAAAGGCCCATCCAGTCCAACACTCTGTATCCCACAGTGGCCAGAAATACCAGTGCCATCAGGAGGTCCACCAGTGGGGCCAGGACATTAGAAGCCCTCCCACTGTTGACCCCCCCCCAAGCACCAAGATGACAGAGCATCACTTGCCCCAGAGTCCCTATCTATACCTTGTGGCTAATAGCCACTGATGGACCTCTGCTCCATATGCTTATCTAATTCCTGTTTGAAGCCGTCCATGCTTGTAGCCGCCACCACTTCCTGTGGCAGTGAATTCCAAGTGTTAATCACTCTTTGGGTGAAGAAGTACTTCCTTTTATCTGTTCTAACCCGACCGCTCAGCAATTTTGGGAAAGATTCTAAGTTGGAGGATGTTTTGGGGCTGATATGAGCTGAGGAGCGTAAACAAAAGGGCTGTCACAAGCAGCACAAAAGCAAAAATGACTCAAGTTACATGGTTTGAGAGGCCAGGTCAAGGGGCGAGGCAGGAACTGCCAACTGACAACAGAAAGCCCAACTCCAAAGACGAAAGAGATATCCCTCACTGCTTCCATTGTAACAAGCCAAGTCATATCCAGAGGGAGTGCTTGCTCAATAGAAAGGCAAATGCCAGCACCAGCAAACAACCTCACACTCAAACTCAGAGACAGAAAAAAGTAATTTTATTTTATTTTATTATTGTGTATCTCATTTAGCACAAATGAATGAAAATCACAAGCCTTGACTAACTGATAGTGGTGTTTCCATACATATGACATCAGATGATGAACTGGACACAAATGCTTCAGAAAAAGTACCCCTTGCCAATGGAGTTACACTAAATTGTCAAATAGGTGATGATGGAACTGAAATTACTGCAGATGATGTTTTATACATTCCTGATGTAAAGGCAAATTTGCTAAGCATCCCCACACTCTCAGAAAAAGGATTTGCTATAGACTTTGAGAATAACATATGTACTGTCTCACATCAAAGTGAGCTATATTCCACAGGTGCTCTCAGAAATTGAGTCTTTGAGCTAGACTGCCAGGAACCAAAGGCCTGTACAGCCAAGACAACTGCTGACCAGAAGTCCCTGGAGCTTTGGCACAGGAGATTTGGTCATTGTAAGCCAGAAGCCATCTTGAAACTACAAACAAAGGACTTGGTAACAGGTATCAATATAAGTGAGTGTGCCAATGGTAATCAATTGTGTGTTGCATAAAGGGAAAGGCAACTTGACCTTCTATTCCCAAACAAATTCAGAGATGCTGTAAGCAACCACTTGAACTAGTTCATGCTGAATTATGCAAGCCTATCAAACCAGCGTCAGTTGGAAATAACACTTATCTGTCATCTTTCATTGATGATTTTTCAAAATATACCGTGTATTATTTGCTGAAAGAAAAATCACAAACTAAAACCCCAAGCCATCCAGTCTGACCATGTTGGTGTGTACACATCTTAGATGTGCAGGAATTCCTAAGGGAACATGGAATCCAGCACAGACTTACTGTACCCCACAAACCAGAACAGAATGCGGTTGCTGAGTGCAAGAATCGAAGAATCGCTCTACAATGGACATAGTCATATGCATGCTAATTGACTCAGGACTTCCCTGCAGGCACTGGGGAGAAGCTGGAATGACCACATTTTACTTGCAAAACAGACTACCAACCAAAGCCACAGAGTTATGGCATAACAGCCACATGAGTTATGGCATAACAGAAAACCAAGCATAGAACACATTAAGGTATTTGGATCCAAGGCCTGTGCTCATATACCATAAGAAAAGAGATCCAAACTAGAACCCAGAGCTGAAGAAGGCATCTTTGTAGACTGTTCTCCAGAGAGCAAGGAATACAGAATTCTAGACCCAAACACTAACCAAATTACTACAAGCAGAGTGGTGTAGTTCGATGAGTGACCAAGGAACAACTATACTGAAAACATGAAACTGCCTTATTGATGTATGATCTTTATATTCAACAGGTAAACAGACTGGCAGACGAACTTCTCGAGTTGATGCTCGTTTCGAAGTGCCTTTCTCAAAGGAGTCTCAATTTTCTATCCATGTGCAATAAAGTCGAGAATGGAATCTTGAATCAAAATGGTCTTCTCCCAAAGCTATATAGCTACAAGTATAACATTTCAAATGGACAAGTATAACATTTCAAATGGACAGGTACAACCTGATGGTCGACCAGAAGAGGAGGTGAAGACAGAAGTTCCTGAACCAGGAGGTGAACCAGAGGAGCCCGAGACTGCTGTGGAGGCAGATGAGACCCCGGACCTCAGACGCGCATCATGGGCCAGCAAGGGAGTTCCAGATGAGAAGCTAACCTACCTCACAAGGACGTTGCTACCACATGAACCGACATCATGGGCTGAATTGCAGCGCATGCCTAAACCAGAAGCAAGCAAGTGGAGGAAAGTAGAAGAAATGGACATCCTGTGTAAGAACAAGACATGGACCTAAGGGTAAGAATGCCATTAGGTGTGAGTGGGTCTTTACGGCTAAGCAAGAGGCAAATAATGATGCTGAGAGATACAAAGCCAGACTAGTGGCAAAGGGATTCTCTCAAATTTATGGTTCATAAATTTGAACCTGTTGCAAAATATTCCACAATTAGGATGCTTCTAAGCATTGCAGCTTCCAGAAACAGACAGAACACTGAGACATTAAGACTGCCTTTTTACATGGCGAAATAGAGGAAGAATTATACATGAAACAGCCCTACCAGGGGTTTACAGATGAAAAGACTAAACATCTAGTCTGTAAATTTCAACAGGGGCTTTATGGACTTAAACAAGCTGCAAAAGCGTGATTGGATAAGCTGACCAAGATGCCCCTCTATCAGGGCGTCAGACAAGGCAAAGGTGATCCCTGTCTTTACAGTAGACACCTGGAAAATGGACATTCATTCTGATCTTTGTTGATGATCTGATTATTTGCCATGAAAATCAAAATGACTGTGCTGAGATTGTATCCCAGCTACGCAAAGGGCCCTGTCTGCACTCTTTTAAATCCATGTTCACCACAGTGTCCTCCAAACAATTCTGCACTAAAATCAAATTCAACCTTCTTTTTATTCTGGTTTTTTTCCCCGTTCTGCATTACGTTATCTCCCTTCAGTGGTTGGCCCGTTTTCTAAACATCTAGTCTGTAAATTTCAACAGGGGCTTTATGGACTTAAACAAGCTGCAAAAGCGTGATTGGATAAGCTGACCAAGATGCCCCTCTATCAGGGCGTCAGACAAGGCAAAGGTGATCCCTGTCTTTACAGTAGACACCTGGAAAATGGACATTCATTCTGATCTTTGTTGATGATCTGATTATTTGCCATGAAAATCAAAATGACTGTGCTGAGATTGTATCCCAGCTACGCAAAGGGCCCTGTCTGCACTCTTTTAAATCCATGTTCACCACAGTGTCCTCCAAATCTGCCTTTTTACATGGCGAAATAGAGGAACATCTAGTCTGTAAATTTCAAAAGGGGCTTTATGGACTTAAACAAGCTGCAAAAGCGTGATTGGATAAGCTGACCAAGATGCCCCTCTATCAGGGCGTCAGACAAGGCAAAGGTGATCCCTGTCTTTACAGTAGACACCTGGAAAATGGACATTCATTCTGATCTTTGTTGATGATCTGATTATTTGCCATGAAAATCAAAATGACTGTGCTGAGATTGTATCCCAGCTACGCAAAGGGCCCTGTCTGCACTCTTTTAAATCCATGTTCACCACAGTGTCCTCCAAACAATTCTGCACTAAAATCAAATTCAACCTTCTTTTTATTCTGGTTTTTTTCCCCGTTCTGCATTACGTTATCTCCCTTCAGTGGTTGGCCCGTTTTCAGCCCACTGGTCCCCATTTTTTTGGGGGGGATGCTGTTTTGCTGTGGTCTTAAATAGCCTTGACTCGAACACTGAGAAAATCTGGAGTGTCAGGCAAATGCAGAAGGAACCAAGGAAGTAGAAGTCAAACACCTAGGCGATGCTAACTTTTACTTGGGAATTCTGATTGAACGGGAATCAGATGGAAGTTATCTTCTTAGTCAAAAGCAGAAGATACTGGAACTATTGCAAAGCCTGGACCTGGAAAGGTGTTAATGCAATGCCCACACCAATTGAATCAGGCTTTTACAAAGAAAAGGTACCCGATGAACCACTGCCAGACCACAATAACTGCAGAGCTATCGTAGGCAAGCTTCTATACTTAGTGATAACAACAAGGCCTGACATTGCAACAGCTGTAAGTATATTGTCCAGAAGGGTTAGCACATCCACCACAAAGGACTGCAATTAAAAGGGTGATGAAGTACTTAAATCATGCAGGGCTCTCTTTGTAGCAGAAACTCCTTTGCATATTAGGCGACACACCCCTAATGTAGCCAATCCTCCAAGAGCTTGCAGTAGCACCTGTAAGAAGAGCCCTGCTTAAATGCACACTTGAAAATGAGACTGCCAGCAACTAAAAATCCCACACTGTTGGGATATGCTGATACAGACTGGGCTGGAGAAAGATCAGACCTAAGTGCCACTAATGGTTACATATTTTTCTGTGGGGGTGGTGCTATAAATTGGGCAAGTCATAAACCAGAAGTTGTTGCCCACTCATCTACTGAAGCAGAATATGTATCCACTTTGCCAGTTCAACTGCTGGAGGACAACCAGAGTCGTATAGCCCTCTCTCTTTCAGAAAACAACAGTACGCAGACAAAGCACATTGGACTAGGAACCAGTAGGGACAAGGAGTTGTCAAGCTGCGCTACTGTCCCACTGAGAAAATGACAGTGGACATATTTACCAAACCACTACCAAGAGGCAAATACCAAGGCCTGTGGGACAACCCGAACATTGAGAACCTCGATGGCTTATAGAGGGGTGAAAGGAAGTGTTGGAGTGAGCAACTCAGCAAGCCTGGATACTGTGGGAGGGCAGTGCACACTTGTATAAGTGTGCTTAGGTGTTATCTCCTTGAATGGGATGAGAACCAGTTTGGTGTAGTGGGTTAAGTGCGTGGACTCTAATCTGGGAGAACCGGGTTTGATTCCCCACTCCTCCACTTGCACCTGGCTGGATGGCCTTGGGCAAGCCGTAGTTCTGATAAGAGCTGTTCTTGAAAAAGAGCAGTTTCTGTCTAGAGCTCTCTCAGCCCCACCTACCCCACAGGGTGTCTGTTGTGGGGAGGGGAAGGGAAAAGGAGTTTGTAAGCCGCTCTGAGACTCCTTTGGGTAGTGAAGGGCGGGGGATAAATCCAATCTCTTCTTCTTTGTCTTAACCTGGGAGCTGCCCGTTCACCCCTCCTCTCTTTCTCTCTCTGTCCTCTCACTCTCTTACAAGGCCTTCCATGGAGACACATGCCGCTGCAGGTCTCTCCTATAGAGACAATGCCATCACAATCCCATACACATGATGCTGGACAGGCTGGCCTTTTGTGATAGGGAAAGCACTCTTTAGGTTAAGCTTCTTCCTCTCCTTTCGACTGCAACCTGACTGGGAACTGGATCTACTTGAATAAGTGTAAGTTTATATTTTTTGTAATATACTTCTTGGGAGATTTATTTACTGCACTCGGTATCACGCTTCTATATCCAGGCAAACTCTGCTATATTAACCAAATATCCCAATACCCATATCACGTTGGTTTGTCAGATTATGGGATTTTTTTGCGATGGACAAGTTGTCGGACACTATACACACAGCAGAAGGCTCGTCCTACGGTTCTACTATGTTAGCAAAATGGGCCCCCTTTTTAGATTACGTTTCGGGGCATTCTCTCACTTCATCGCAATTTATTCCACAAAAACACTGTGAATTGATTACATATATTTAATAGATGGTTATATTTGATGAAATAATGCAGTTTGGACTGGTTTGTAATTATCTGAAATAATGCAGTTTGGACTGGTTTGTAATTATCTTCTCCTTGCGACTGAACTATAGGTTAGATTGGTTTGTTTTTGGCATGTTCTTTACATGTAACTCTTCACTGGTTAAATGTATTTGTTCTTTATACATGTAACTCTTCACTGGTTAAATGTATTTGTTCTTTATATATATATATAGCCAGCCTGCTTTCCAAAAGCAAGGCAGAGTCCATGAGCACCCCCAGGCTGTTAACCTGCTCTGAAAAAGCCAATGTCACTCCGTCTAGGACAGTTGGATTCAGTCCCTCTAGAATGTCTGCCTTCCCAACCAGCATTACCTCTGTCTTGCCTGCATTCAGCTTCAGTTGAAAAGAATATACAGTTTCTATGAAAGCAGAATAAAACTTGGCCAGACTAAAACCTAGACAAACTAAAATACAGCTACATCTCCAACATTCTGCTACTTTACCCTTAATCTGATAAACCCAAAGTTTAGTTTTTGGAAAGTCTTCCAATAAATAGGAGTTTCATAACTGGGCTGGAGGAAAGAATTCACTGAGATAGAGGCAGTGAAAAGAAAGAGAGAACATGGCAGTTGCCTGGGGGTGCCCCTGCAAGTTATCGTGGGTTCCCTAATTGGTCCATGCTGGACCCAGCCCAGCAGCTGGCACCACACAACTTGGCCATAGTTTTCCTAGGATCGGTGGAGGGACCGGGGGGGGGGGGGAAGAGCAGGGAAAGATAAAGAATGGGGGCACACAGATAAAGGTAGGTGTGCTGTTGGGTGGGAGGGAGAAAGGGAAGCATGAAAAGGAAAGAGGCTATGGGGGCTGCTAAGGAAGGGAAATATAAAACAGGGATGAGGGGAAAGTCCGCAACTCATTGTGGGTCCCCTGCTTGTATAAACTAATTTTTCAACGTTTTGACAATTTCCTCAAGTTTTTGTAGCACTTTGCATTGTAAAAGTGTTCTAGAGTAATTATATGTATATGTAATTATATGTAGTATCTATATACAGTCTCTTCAGTGATGATTCCAAAGTCTAATTTAGAGGTTAAATCTTAAAACCCATTCCTACCAATATTAAAATTATACTTGGAGTTACGTTGGATTATTCAGGATCAATACAGGATTTAAAAAATATTTTAGGCTAATTATAGATAACGTATTAAACTAACAATTGATTTTCTTCTTGTGAAGGTGCTGCAGCTAATTTCAGTTTTTTCAAGTGGATGAAACTACTTTGGATTAATACTTGCAGGTTGGTATCAGTAGCTAGGAAAAGACACAGTCTCGCTGTGTAATTAATTTAAGATTGTTATTTACAGGGGTTTTTTGTAGAAAAAGCCTAGCAGGAAACCATTAGCATAATAGGCCACACCCAACAGCAGAAACTCATTCGCATATTAGGCAACACCCCTGCCAACATAGCTCATTAGCATATTAGGCCACACCCCATGCCTTCCCTTGGCTTGCCTGGGAGCCCCGTGGCTGTGGGGGTGCAAGCTGGCCCTTGGACAGGCTGGTGAAGGCATGGGGAGGCATTTAAATGCCTCCCCAATCCTTCCAGGGGGCTCCCTGGCCTGCCTGCCTCGGAGTCGCCGGGGGGTCACTCTCCAGGCCTTCCCTCTGTAGCCACACATGCAAAGGTTTTGGCTGCAGTAGGCGTGGCCAACTCTGAAGCCAGCCGGAACCAGTGTTCCCTCTAAACTGAGTTAGTGTGAGCTAGCGCACCGTTTTTTAGCCTCCGGCTCACAGATTTTTGTTTCAGCTCAGGAAGGATGGCTCCAGAGCAAACTAATTTATGCAGTAGCCAAACTGCTCGCTCACAACTTTAATGCCGGTAGCTCACAAAGGAGAATTTTTGCTCACAAGACTCCACAGCTTAGAGGGAGCATTGGCCGGAACGCCGTTCCTATGCGTTCCTGCCCAAAAATAGCCCTGGTTATTTATCTCTCTCTCAGTCCCACCTACCTCATAGGATGTCTGTTGTGGGGAGAGGAAGGCAAGCCGCTCCAAGTCTCCTTCAGGTAGTGAAGAATGGGGTATAAAACCAACTCTTCTTCCTTTCTCACTTTCTCAGCTTTTATCAAGCATTCTAACAGTTGTTCTAAGGCTGTTTCCATACTAGGACACTTTTGTCCCACTCATTCATTTCTTTTCCATAACCAGTTGCAATTAAAATGATGGTTCCATTGATCTTCACAACCATTTACTGTTTTCCAGCATATTTAGTTACTTCCTGTTCACTCATGGTGGCTGTGGCATTTCTGAACTGATATATAATACGTTCTTGGTATGTATGTGTATGTTACGTATCTCTTTTATCTTTACAGCAAAAACTACTGCTCATTTTTCTTTTTAAATAATCATAACTGTGCAAATGCAAAATTTTAAGCATAAAAGTTAAAGGAAAAGATAATGAGCAATCATTTAGCTGCAGAGAGAAAAGCAGTATTGAAAGACTGTTTCCTCCCCATGCTGGGGTCATGAACTGGTTAAGGATCAGGTATGCCATGGCCCCTGTGAGAAAGCTAGATCAATCAAACTGAGAACAATAATAACAAAAAGGAAAGAAGCAGAAATGAAAATGAAGCCTTGGAAAGACTCGGCAATATTTTGCTAATCTGCAACAGGCATGCTGGTGGTGCAACTGGCTTTTAAGTTTAAAATATAGCCACAAATCAGGTCTGAAAAAGATAGAAAGACGATAAGGAGACACACTGGAATGCTGCATAGTGGTAACAATTTCAGCTGGGTTTTCTGTAAAAACGGACTAATGGCTAGAATGGAAGCAGCCTGAAATCACAGCAGAATGTAAAAATAAACGGAATCAACCTTTGAAGCATTTTTTTACAAATTGCAGAAATGATGAATATGAATAGGCACATATTGAGGAGATGTTTTACTGATTGTAGTCCCCATGTGTATGTGAATTTCAGAGTAGTTCCTAAATCTCCCTTATATTTATATCAGCCTTCTAAGGTGGCCTGGGCAGCTCCCCAGTGTGTGCTAAAAAGTTCATTTGAGATTGTGGCTGCTGCGGTTTATTTACTGACATTACAGCCAAATTGTCACAATCTAAAGATAAATGCAGCAGCGCTTGCCTGGTTTCCAGTTCTGCAGTGACCATAGAGATGGGGTAAAAGGCATGTAAGGAGAGGTTGCCAGCAAATGGCCTTTTCCCCTGCCATCCATCAGGAATAATGTTTCTGGGATATCAGCCAGGACTACAGATGTGGTCGTGATATATGTCTAGCACTTACCCTACCCTACCTGATGAAATATACAAAGGGCTTTTTTGTTTTGTTTTCCTTGTCAGTTGCATCTCATCTTTCTGGACTCGGTCTTGTTTTCCCAACTCTGCATAAATTTATCTGTTATCAACCAGCACTTCTTTCTCCGGGGACCAGGTGCAAAGGCACACAGGCTCCTGTAACTTTGTGGAGGCCCCCCCCCCTTTTTTAGTATAAGGGAATTTCATCAGGTACATAATTTTTCAGTTTGGCACAAGGAGATACACATGCTAATATTCCCTCACATCAGGGGCTTGCATGTAATAATTCTTCCTATTCTGTACTTCTTCACATGCCGGGAGCCAACTTCCAGTCCTAGAGGCCGTTCAAGATGATCAGTTTTTAATTCAAAGCGCAAAAATGAAAACGTGAAGCTGTTTTGTCTCAAGGAAGTGCTTCTGTTTCAAAGTATTGAATTTTTCTAGCTTGGATCTATGAGAGCATTTCTGTGGAGGACTTCTACCTTCAGAGTGCAACTTTCTCTCTTCCCTCCTCTCACTGCAGCCCAAAATGTCCCCTGGAATGCTTATTCTTGGAGACAGGAGACCCCCCAGAAGCAACCTTTCCAGGGAGCATTTCGTGCTTCCATACTTCCATCTATAAAAACACTCTGGTGGATGCAAGCCTTTGTCTGCAGATTATTATTGCTGTGAAAATGCAGCTAACCCAGCTAGCAAACTAGGGTTGCCAAGTACCTACCTATGAACCGGCGGGGGACACATGCTTCCCCGCCGGAAGATTCTTGCTTGTAACACAGGCGCTGCACTATTCCGTCGCCCAGACGTGACGTAGGCACGTAGCTGGGCGATGCTCTGGTAATGGGACTGGAAACTCGATGGTACCATAGAGTTTCCAGTCCCATTGCTAGAGCGTCGCCTGGCTACGTGCCTACGTCACGTCTGGGCGACGGAATAGTGCAACGCCTGTGTTTTCCCCGCGGGAATGTCCCACGAAGAACTATATATCCCCCGCCGAATCGAGGTAAGTACTTGGGAGCCCTGTAGCAAAGTAAAAGAACCAGAAGTGCTGTCAGATAAAACAGTGACATGAGCAGGGCTTCTTTCCTGGGGGAACACGGCGGAGCAGAGTTCCGGAACCTCTTTGTGGAAACAAAATTCTCAAAAAAATGTTTAAAAGTTCACAATAGTGTTTCAAAGAATCCCATATGTTTCTCCTTTATTTCTCTCTTGAGAGTTCCGACACCTCTTTTTGCAGAAAAAAAAGCCCTGGACATGAGTATCGCATGTACTGATTGGATACTCATAATGGCATCACTGATAACAGATAAAACAGCCCCAGCCCCACCTGTACTGCACTGTGACCTCAACAGCAGTGCTCCACCTGAAGATAACTAGATTCAGATTGTAGAAGCTCCCTGTTGATATAATTCCCAGCAACTGTGCTTGAAGAATGTGGGACCACTGGACTTGCTGAGCTGGCAACTTTGAAAATTCTGCCAGGATCCAGCTGCCAAGTTGAACAATGTCTTTGCAGCAGTTCAAGGCTTTAATAGCTGATTTTCTGCACACTTGTAAGGAATATTTGGGTAGGAATGATGCTGCAAAATACCTGTGAATGCAGATGAGGTTGGTTCTAAATAGGTTCAACTTGCACTCAAAACAAAGAGGCCTCATTAAAAACGGCATTGAATCAGTGCCTAGTGTCTTTTTGCTTTCAGTAGGAAAACCCTGGGAATGTGTGATAAGGCTTTATGGATTCTTTTTTCTCTACTCCTTGGATTGCTGCCTGCTAACTTTGGAAAATGCCAAGAAGGAGGTACAGGGTTAATTTTAAATCTTTTTATTCTTTCAGCCAAAAAAGTGTAACTATAACTAAAAATAAAAGTTCACCTGGTTTTATAGAACTGGAAAGTTTTGAAGCCATTCAGAAATAACTGGGATAGGCAATTGTATGAGCGGAGAAGAAAACTTTTACCAGCAATTAAAAGTAAAATCTAGTGTACAGAATTGGGTCTTTGATGAAGTTTGGTCAAACTCTGGAGTCGTAAGAAAAACTTTGCATTCTTTCTTGAAGTGCCATGTCTTTGTACATAGTAGTGCAGATTCCTTTTCTATTTTGTTTTGTTTACACAGTTCAGAGTGCAGCTGCAAATGTATTGGGAAACAATGGGACATCTGAAGGTTTCTGTGTTCTTTTGTCTTTTAGGGGAAGGTCATCCCTGGAGGAGCGGTTTGTTGTGACACCGTCCCTTGCAACAGTTGGCATGGAGACCACTCAGCTCACTGAAGAGAATACAGATTTTGCCTCCCGGGACCGCTACCACCATTCCTCTGTTATCACCAGAGAAGAGTTTGTTAATCAGTTCCAACAAGAAAGAAACATGCCATTCAGTCCACCAGCCAATTAAAAGCACTGGCCACAGACACACCACCTGATTAAATGGTTTGCCCTTTCACAATGGATTTTAATGAATGCTGAAACTTCCAATTAAAGGGGGGGGGAGGCCAGGTTTGCAGCCAAGGCTTCTAAACCTTATTCTCTTAAAAAAAGAGAGAGATGTATAGCCTTTGGGGGCTGTTGGGACTATTTTTTCACAATAACGGCACAATAAGTTTGTTTAATATATAGCATAATATTATAAAATTGCTTTATTTTTGGTTGTAAGTTATTTACACACCTCTTATTCTATTAGCATGCAGCACCACACTTGATAGGTAGAGAATACAGAACAAATGACGGGGAAAACACGGAGTAGATGCGCTACAAGAGAGCTAACGTTTGGTCACATGATTCTGTAGCTGTCCAAAAAGACTTTAAACTTCTGTATGCAGGGTTTTTTTTTCATATTCATGCAGTATGAAGTAACTTGCACATACCAGACATGTTCCATGAAGCTTTTCTGTTTAGTTTTAAACCCTCTAAGCTTTAACTGAGGCGTAAAGAGATCAGTGGGTTTTAAGTCCAGCAGCACCTTGGAGACCGGCAAGAGTTTCAGAGTGTAATTTTTTGAGAGTCAAAGCTCCCTTCCATCGGACAAAGTAGAGTAGAAGTGGAGATCTTCACTTTTTCGTGAGGTTGATGGATTTCCACTTCATGCTGGTGGACATGGTTCCTCTCACGAAGACCGTTTCAGAGGGGAGCAGGAGCAGAGCTCCGGCAGTAAAGAGCTCAGGGGGCGGGCACATGCAACAAGCCCCACCCCCTGCTCCCAGCAGCCCTCAGTCAGAGCAAGAAGCAGCCAAGTAAGCTGCAGAGCCCCCCCCCCCCGGTCCAAAACAGTCCAGTGGCACCTTTAAGGCCAGGTTTTATTCAGGTACAAGCTCTCCCTCCTCTGTGAGGACAGATCTGCACGATTCTCCTGACACAAACACACTAATAAGAATCTTTACCTGCATGGCTGCCGCCGCCTGTACAGTCAGTCCCACGCTATTTTTAATATGATGCCAAGGATGTCTGAGTCCATTGCTTGTGTAGCATATAAAGGTAGTGTTGAGACTGAGCAGAACACTTTATCTGAACAACCACAGAAGCCGTGGCAACCATGTTGCTCAAGAGGGTATCAGATGGCCAGAAGGCACATCTGTACTAACAATTTAGGCTGAAATTGCTATGATTTACTCAGTCAGAGAATTCAAATGTTAGCCGTCCATTGCATTCCGGTGTTTTCTTTCTTTCGCCTTTTTGTTGATTTGTGGTGATTGTTTAAAAGATGAAACACAATTGTACTGTTTAGTTGTCCAGTATAGACAGTCTTATTTATTTATGTATTTATACCTTGCCTTTCTCCCCAGTAAGGAGCTGCGGTGGCTCAAGTGGTTAAGACGCTGAACTGCAGGCTCTGGAAGGTCGGTAGTTCAGCGGTTCGAGACCCGAGTGTGCCGCATGACGGAGTGAGCTCCCGTTCTCTGGTCCCAGCTCCTGCCAACCTAGCAGTTCGAAAGCAAGAAATTGCAAGTAGATAAATAGGTACCCCTTCGGTGGGAAGGTAACAGTGTCCCGTGCGCCTTGGTGTTTAGTCATGCCGGCCACATGGCCACGGAAATGTCTTCGGACAGCGCTGGCTCTTCGGCTTGGAAAGGAGATGAGCACCGGATCCCTAGAGTCGGACTCGACTGGCTTTCGAGCAAGGGAACCTTTACCTTTCTCCCCAGTGGTGACCCAAAGTGGCTTACATTGTTCTCAAGTCTGTTTTATCCTCTTAGACTGAGCTTGTGTGACCGGCCCATGGTGACCTAGCAACCTTCCATGGCAGAATGGAGATTCGAACTTAAGTTTCCCAGATTCTAGTCGAGCACTTTCAACCAGTGCACCATGCTGGCTCTCAAAATGCTATTCAGGTTCCTCAGCGATACCATCTCTCTACATGTTCATCTCTCCTGTCTCCTCTTCTGCTTCCAGCTTAATTACTTCCTGTTCTCCTTTATGGTCAGCAATGGCATTGATGAATCAACATTCATTACTGGTTTTGAGGTTTGGGGATACATAGGTGGGAATTAAGTACTGCTTTCTGCTCTGCAGGCCAAGCTGCTGCTGACTCTTTATTAGTGCTATTGCAATATCTCTAAATTACGATAATGAAAAACAAATAATATTTTCATGCAAAGAAAAGGTAGTACTTAATTTCTCTCTCCCCCCCCAATGAACTAATAATTAACAAAATTCCAGATGGTGGGCTGTGTTAGCCTGTAGCAGAAAAATGAAACAGAAGTCCAGTGGCATCTTGAAGCCTGGAAAAAAAACTTATGCCAGCATAAAGTTGTGTTAGAGTTCAGAGGAAGTGCAACAGTGGAATGCTAATGGGTTTAAAGGTATGTAACTGTTTAGGATTACACTGTGAATCCATCATGCCTGACGGATACAGTACATAAAGGTTGGGGAGGCAGAATCGAACAAAGAGGGTTCAAAACAGGATCCAATCCAAAAATGTAAATTACTTCAGCTATACCTCCATGACTTCCTTTATATCAGTTCATCTCATTCGTATACTAAGTTTTATATGTTATTGATTTACTTCACCTTTCTCACTGAGATTTAAGGTGGATTACATAGTTTAAATTAGAGAACAAAGGAAAAATGACAGTATAATGCAGCAAATAATCCAATAAAACAAGACCAAAAGTTGGAGAGCACAATAAAAACAGTATTTATAATTAAATCCAGGGGTCATTTTGTAGAAAAAGAGGTGCAGGAGCTCATTAGCATAACCTATTTGCACAACTTATTTGCATATGCCACACCCCCTGACATCACTGGAAGTGTGTCAGAAGGCAACACCCACCACTCAGGCTCCACTGGACTGTTTTGGATTGCTAGCTATTGGGGGGGGGGGGGGAAGATTCTTCCCACCAGAACAGAGGAGGGAGAGCTTGTACCTGAATAAAACTTGGTCTTAAAGGTGCCACTGGACTGTTGGGGAGGTGCTCTGCGACTTACCTGGCTGCTTCTTGCTCTGACTGAGGGCTGCTGGGAGCAGGGGGTGGGGCTTGTTGCATGTGCCCGCCCCCTGGGCTCTTTACTGCCGGAGCTCCGCTCCAGCAGGAAATAGACCCCTGATTAAATCATTTATATCCTGCCTTTCCTCTTGGCTCAAGGCAGTTTACAAGTAGCTGTTAAAACGTTACAGATTAAACACACATAATTCCACCCGCCCCCAGTATTTCCTTCCCACAAGAGATGCCTGCTCTTCCTGTCCCAGCAAAAAGCCCTGGCAAACCAAGCAAGCCTTGCAGCACCTCCTAAAGATCTTCAGTGGGCAGCTCCCTTTTTCCCCAAGGGGCCCTTTCCACAAAGAGGGGGCCCTGATGGAAAATTCCCAGTCTCTAGTCAATATGAAGTGGGCACCCTGAGTCAGGGAGCAGCCAGCAGGTGGCAGCCTGAAGACTAACTGGCAGACGGAAGCATACAGGACAAGACAGTCCTTTAGATAGGTGAGGCTGTGAAGGGCTTTAAAAGCAGCACTTTGAATTGAACTCAGAAACAAGCTAATACAGCCATTTCAAAATAGGCAAGACCTGTTCCCGTAGGCTGGCCCCGAACAGTAATCAGGCTGCAGCATTCTGGACCTGTAGTAGTTTCTGGGTAGTCTCTTTTTTAAAATATTTTTTTTTATTGATTTCATCCAATAACCCACACCCAACAAAAACATACACTGTTAATACATATATACACAGACGAGCATACAGCCATAATTACTTCCCATCAATATATCTCTAATCTCCTCCTAACACTTTCACTTTACTTTCCATTTAAATAGTTTCTCCCACTTCTTCTTGAATATCTCCTCATCTTTCCCTTTTAATATATCAGACAATTTATCCATTTCGGCAACATCGAACCATTTTTGAACCACTTCTAAATTATCTGGAATTTTCTCAGTTTTCCAGTACTTGGCAGAACACATTCTGGCAGCTGTTATACAGTGTAACAACAAATTCTTTCCTTCTTTCCCACCTACTTCGGGTATAATATTTAATAGAAAAGTTTCAGGTTTCAATGGGATCGACACCTCCATGATTTCCTCTAGCATCTTTCCGATCTTCTCCCAGTATTCACTAGCCTTGTTACATGTCCACCACATGTGGAATTATGTGCCAACATTCTGTCTGCATTTCCAACAGATATTTGTCAAAGCCTTAGAATATTTTGCTAATCTGGAAGGGTACAGATACCATCTGGGTAGTCTCCAAGGAAATTCCAACGTAGAGCACTTTACAGTAATCCAACCACGAGGTTACAAAAGCATGGATCAGTGCGACCAGATTGGCTAAGTTTGAGAGTTGGTGAACCAGATGCAGCTGCTAGGAGGCACTTTTGGCTACTACTACTTCACCAACCTGCTTTTCAAACAGCAAGGCTGGATCCATGAGCACCCCAAGATAAATCTGCTATGAAGTATAGAATCATAGGATCACAGAGTTGGAAGGGGCCATACAGGCCATCTAGTCCAACCCCCTGCCCAATGCAGGATCAGCCTAGAGCAGTGGTGGCGAACCTGTGGGCACGTGTGCCATCGCCCCAGCCAGGCCCAGACCATCATTAAAGGGTCGAATTCTCTGCCAAATCATTTTAAGTCAATGAAAGCCTTTGGAATTGCTTTCCTTACTTTGTTTGGATCATCTTAAGTTAATGTATGAGTTGTTTTTTTCTAAAGTAAAACGTCAGTATTCAGGTTAAATTGCCGTGTTGGCACTTTGCGATACATAAGTGGGTTTTGGGTCGCAGTTTGGGCACTCGGTCTCTAAAAGGTTCGCCATCACTGCCCTAGGATCTTCCAGTAAAACCGGTCTCCGGGGGCTCAAAAAAAAACCACAAAAAACCCCCAGAACCTTGAAACTGATCTGGTGCTCCACTGGAAGCCAATGCAGCTCATGCAGCACTGGTTGAATGTGTGCTGTCTATGAGGTCCCA